CAGTTATTCCCTTTCTAAGTTAAATGTGCATATAATAAGGACCATTCCCTTACTAAGTAACACTTTTGAGGTTTGAAAATTGCTGAAAAGTTCAAAACCGTAGCAGTCAACAGTCAAAGCATTGCCTTCGTCATTCCCATCTAGTTCTGCAGCCGTGTATATCTGCACATATTTGGAGTTCATGCTCCATTTTTCTATTTCCGCCTTACTTTTCCTGCATTCTTTCAGTCCTGCCATCTGCGTTGACTGCTTGGTATTGCGGAAGACTAAGAACTTTGCGTGACGAAGTGTCAGAGCGGGCTTCTGATCAACAGGTAATTCTGAAGTCTTGAGTCCAAATTTACTATTCTGATTACCCTAGTTGAATTATTTCCTCGTGTTTCAGTCATTATTTCAAGCCGTCAGAGACTTTCATCGACGAACTTTGTGCGCTGTCAGTCTAAATACCTTCTTCAAATACTGTGGTAAATTTATTTGCCCGTCGTAATCACATACAGACACACGTTTTTTCTATTTTTCTGGATTATGTATCAACTTAAGACAACTCGGAGACCCATAGCCATGTGAAGATACCTCAGTGCGCGATGGCCAAGGAAGGGTAAATTTTAATCCGCTTTTCTGGAGAAACAGTACATGTATCACAAAGTGCACCACCAGTTTATGCTTCTTCGTGATTCTCAAAAACTTCTATATAGGCTCTCTTGGCCCATTTAGATTCTGTCGAGACGTTGCAGCCACTGGCGTACGAGCTGGCCAATCGCCTCCACTCATGGAATGCCTACCAGCCATCGAAACTCTCGAGAATCGAGTGCTTCAACATCTCCAGAGTATTGGCTCTCCCCCTTAGTCCCGAAGTTCGCCCTCTGTTTGTTGAGGGCCTTGTAAACACTTTCGGCGACTCTCCACAAATCCCATCCCGTGTACCGGTAAATGCGAGCTTTGGACAGTCTAGATCAAAGCCACTAGCCTTGCTAAGTTCATCAAAAGGGACTCTATTACTCATGATACTCAAAAATAAAACCAAGGAAACGCATTATGCACTATCGAAACAGCTATCCTTTTACCGTCACTAACTGATAAGAAATCACGTGCCCTTTTTTCCCAATTAATATTGGAAACTGATACATTTAACTTTTAACTTGGATTTCAGATAACTATTTGAGCGCACACCACTTCTTTCCTTTTCCCACCAGGTTTGCCTCTCAAAAGCTTCTACACAGCTTTCAAAGGCGGGGCTGACCATACATGCAGCTAGTCTGGAACCGTTTCCTGTCTATCGATTAGTTACCATATCCCCTAACCAATGCCTACGAAGACCTAATCACAAAATGAGCGGCCCATCTCAACAACGACTCTTTGTCTGCATCCGTAATACCCCAACAACCCATGAAGATTCAATCAGCCTTAAGGAAAAACTACATTTTATTCGAAGTGGGCAAGGTGATTGTTCTGATCTCCCCACTGACAGAGATCGTGACGAAGTTTGCAATTTATACTTTGCTGGTTGCTTTGGCGAAGACTGTGACATTGGATAGCAACAAAAAAAATAATTTTCTCGATATGGGTCTGAGAAAAGCGATGGCGAGAGCACCAACAGCACTGTATGATAGCATAAAAGATGCTGAGAGACTAGTAGAACATTATAGATGTTATTCTACCGGTTTAAAGTACAGTAAGTGCTAGGATCTGAGGCCAACGCCCGTCAATGTCGCATCGAGTTGTCGTAGCCAGGGCAAAAGGAGGAGGATTTTTCGCCGATAAGCCGTGTTCATACATTTTGAGTTGGGCGCATAGTAAATGGGATTGCGCTCCATGTAGAGCGTCTTCAGCTGCTTCATTGGCGCCAGGATGTTTAGTTGATCCCACTCGGCAACAAGGTTGTCATTGAACCAAAACTCCTCAAGTTTGACTAGGTGAGATATGTTCTCGATTTGACTTATTCTGTTTCGAGATAACTCAAGTGTCTGAAGTTTGACAAGATTATCCAAACCCTCGATTCGGCTGATACCATTGAAACTCAGGTATAGTTCTTCTAAATTCAACAATTTGTCGAGTCCCTCGAGCTTTGTAATTCGATTGCACTAGACCATAAAAGAGGCGTCGAGTTAATTAGTGGTTGGGGTATTAATAGCGGTTTTTGAAATGTGCTAAAAGCAAGACAGAATAGCCGTGTGATCACATGGTATAACTCAAACGTTCCAGATGACATAGTACTTGTGGTCAGAGTAGATGTGACGTTTTCGACAGATACAGGAAAAATAGTGGCAAAAGATTGCGTTCAGAAGTGCGTGTGCGCATATACACTTACCTGCAGACTCAATATTCTAAGTCTTGGCAGGTTTTCAAGTCCCTCAAGCTTTGTAATTTTATTATTTCCCACAAACAACTCCTCGAGGTTAGGGAAGTTCTCAAGGTTCTCCAGTTTCCGAATCTTGTTTGCACCAAGCTCAAGCATGGTTAGGTTTGTGAGAGTTGACAAGTTTTCAATTCTGGAAATCTTGTTATTGACAAGATAAAGCTTGGTAAGACTTCTTAAAGAGTCCAAATTTTCTATCACCCGGATACGGTTATAACTCAGGTCCAATACCTCAAGCACTCGCAAAACTTCCAGGTTCTCAATCTGCAATGATATAATTATAAGTTGCAGAAGCAAATAAATTTATTAAATAAATTAGAGAAGTCAGAACGGGGGGTGAGCAACTAGCCTTCGTAATTTGATTATCATACAAGTCCAGATCTATCAATATGTCAGCAAGTGGTCCCAAATTTTCAATGACCTTTATAAGGTTATTCCTGAGACACAATTTTCTCGCCTAAAACTCGTTCAACAAATTTTGTACACGTACATTAGGTAAGGTTTCCAGCTTTGAAATTCGCTTGATTCGTCTATGGTTAATGTCGATATCTTCAGATTCTCTATCAGAGATTTCAATCTCATCTATCTCAAAGGAATCTTGCTCCTGTTTCTCATTGTCCTCTTCAGCACTAGCCTGTGCTGATTTGCCAGATTCATCAGTAGCCTTAGGAAGATCACCGACATCGCTCATAGTCCCAGCCCTATGCAAGGGAGACCGTTTCGAATGCGCACACGGGTATTCATTAGTTATTTGTAGGATCAGATTCAAGTAATCCAGGGACTGGTGATAAGTGTCAAAGTAGGCAGTCAGGTAAAATTCGCCCTTTGACACTATCTTTTGCGTGTAAATGTATGATGAAGGTAGTGGTTTGTTTTTACACCTAGTCTTCAAGCATGTAGCATTTTGCAAGAAAGTCATCCTATATTAAACAAAAAAAATAATTCGCCTATTTTTGTGATTTTTTGATATTTGTGGAGCACTGTGCTTTAACTCTTTGCCTCAATAGGCGCGTGCTACATTTCCTGCGGGCTGTTTTCGCTGCGGGGTGTTGCTCTAGTTATAACGATGGCTTCCCAGTTGTTCTCGTCGTTATTTGTATGTGTTCTTCCGTACTACTCTGGCTAACTGCGACTTTAGGAGAGACTCCTATGAGGATATGCGAGTAAGGGTCCTATATTCGTGTACTGATATTAGGCCTCTGGATCGGTTATTCACAGCAATCATTCCTGAATGGTAGACGAGGAAACGGTCTTCATTGTGCCCCCTCTGATTTGTCTTAAATGTAAGTTTGTAATTACACAAACTTGTTGCCTTCTGATAAGTCCAATATACTCTTGTCCTGTTTTTTTCCACAATTCGAGAGTTAACAATTTCGGAGATAAGTACATTTGTCACACGGCTGAACCTTTATTCCATTGGTTCGCATTTCAGATGAATGCACAGTGGCAGCTCACTTCGCGACGCGTGTTCATGCAGTTTGTAGTATCTACCTCCACGACCCGTATCTCAAGTGCCATTCTTATGATCATCTGCCTTTTTTCCCATTCTTTGGCATTATTCTTCGCCATTTCAGCTTACGGTGCGATTATAAGGGGGCATCATCGGTTTGTTATTTGTTCGTATCGCCTTCAAAGCGAATGCGGGTTCCAACACTTACTTAGACTCAGGTAGAACATCAAAAAAAGCTAATTTATTACAATCGAGACTTGTTTTACAGAGACAAAGTAATGCAAGAAGCACAACATCAAAAATAAGAGATATAGAAAGATAATGTCATGGTTCGTTGGGGACCTTTTGATTCTGGACAAGACGGAGGAACCAAGTAGCCAATATTCTCCGCAGAAATCCGTGTTCTGCAACAGCGATTAAGCGTGCTGTGTTACAGGTGAAGATGCCTTCGAGTGCTAATGTAGAGGGTGCTTCTGGGCCCAGCGGCAAAGCAAGGAAGCCTTGTGGTAGTGTGGCTAACGATTCCGCCAATGCGGTCATTTGAGCGTCCCTGTCTTCGGCGGGACGCTTTCTCAAGATTCTCCCATTAGTATCATGCGGTGTTGTTGTAGTGGACGCGTCAATTGTGAAGCGCCGAGGACGACTCAGAAACTTCTGTAGGCGCCAGTTCCTTTTGGGATTTGATTCTGATAGCTTCCTTTTGTGCTAAAAAAGGGGTCAGCCGCAAGTTATCAAGATTGTCATACGGTTTTGAAATTTACATAATTTAAACACACCTCATTGGTAAAAGCGTCAGAATGTGCCCTCCCAGAAAACAGTGGCTCGCAACGTTTGATTGGTGAACTATTAGCAGCGTGTTCCTTATCTGCATTGTACAGCAAAAAGAGGTAGAACTGAGTCAAATGCGTGGACAACCCGGTAAGAAGAAGAGCGAACTGTTCCACGTTGTGATCGCTGCCTGCGTCAGGAACGAATGGTTTTAGCCATGGAAGTGGGGAAACAAACTCTCTTCTTCCAGTGTTCGTTTGAAGCTGCAGAGGAAGGCGTCGGAAGTTGCCAGCTCTCAGCCTCGTGAGGTTTTCGTCAAACTCGCAGAAGGCCATTTTGACAGACTCAGAAAGCTGGCCGCAGTATTTAGCCGTCAGACCATTCTGGACGGTTTGCAGGAGAATCATTTGCAGTAGCGTTGCGGTTAGGTGCGACTTTAAAAGTCGAAAGCGCTTTCATTATGGAAAGTTGTTCATGCTGAAAAAAATAGCAACTGGTACAAACATTCACCTACATGTTGGTAAAAGTTGGCAGGTGATTGCAGCTTGAGTAGTCTTTGAACAAGCTGTTTTAACTCATCGCATTGGTCGAAGTCGAAGAAAGCCGCGTAGCTATCCGAAAGGCAATTTAGAAGCCGCAAGCCAGAGCTAAGAGGCAAGCGTGTGAAGAACTCTGTTTGGATTGAATGTAAACACATAAAGAATCCAAACGCAGATGCTACAAAAATACTACGAAATGGGGTTCTGACCTGGGACTGTAAGACCTGTCACGGACGTCTCGGAAGCCTCGATGTTGTGATTAAAAGTACCCACACTGAGGGAGGGATCGAAAAAGAGGAGTTCCTGAACAGCTTTTGGCACGGTTTTCTCCCCATTCTCCCCAAAGCTGAGTAGAAGTTCGCCAATAAGGCGAATAAGTAAATTGGTGTTCAATTGGCTTGAAATAACTTCTGATAGCGGTATACTATCAAGACGAAATGGAAAAGCTTAATTTTGAAACAAGTAAATAAAAGTATACATATTTTAGAGTATAATAGCATATTTGAAATTTGGTCTTGCTTAGAAAAGAAACAACAGTATCGGCACCGTAGTTTCCGACTACACGTTAATTGGTGAAAGTGCTAAATAGAAAACCATTCACTGTGATTGCTTAATCAAGGCATACCTGTGTGTAAATAAAGCAAACTCATTTACTTACGCTTAACTTAAGATCTGTCGGGTACTACTTTTCAAATAATGAGAAATGGTAAAATTACTGTGCAGATTTTATCACAAAATGGAATTACAAAATCTACAATGCACGCTACAAGGAAAAGTTTATTAATTTTTTGAAGACCCCATATTACAACCAAAATGTGGAAATAAGAGATATCAAATCGCGCATGAGTAATAGTAATCGTGCAATTAATGACCACTGGCGTCTAAAATGTGCACTTATGGGGCAAGGGGCGTTCACGATGCCACATAAATCTGTACACATCTGAACACTCGTCCCTGGCGTTATTTTTGATGTTTTTCTAGAGACTAGCAAAGAAGAAAAGGTAATAGCTTTTGTTTCGGAGACAGCTCACGTGTCCAAGGGCGGACGATCAACTTCATGCGTACAGAGAGGAAAAACTCTGAATTCGAAGGAGTAGCTGGGTTTTTCGAAGCTCTCTACTCCATCCTCGGGATTTTTTTCCTCCGCCTCCTCATCGTCTTTGCCTAATAGGTCAGCCGACTGGAACAGCCGAAGCGCCAACTGACGCAGCTTGTTCGACGCGCCTATTGGCCGCAAGTTGGCCAGCTGGAGGCCAGCATCGCTGGGAAGCAAGCGTCTGGCTCGATCATCGTACACGGTGGTGAGAATGTGGATCGGAAGGAGGCAGGCGCGAAAAGCCTCCTCCAAGTGAGCGATCGTAATCTCCCACTGGTGCACAGTCAGGCATGTCGCGGTCGACATGAGCAGGTGCCTAAAGCACAGTTCAAAGGCGCACCAATTGAAAGTAACACACAAATTTGGAATCTTATCGCCTCTAGTCTTCTCACCTGAGACAGGAAGTTGCCAAACGCGAAAGACGCTCATTCCGTACACTAATACAATCAACCAATGCGTGTAGGCACTGATGTAGCATGAGATTTATACCCACCACCGAATTCGACGATTGCTGATCTTAAAGGGCGATGAAAAGCGATTGGTGATTTGGCACAAAAATGAAATAGATGGGAAAAAACTAGTTGACCCTACCTCTTTGTTGAAATCGAATTATGAGGTTGCACACCAACTGAGTGGTTTGACCTATAATAAAGCTTAGTTTTGAGATAATAGCTCCGCCCTTATCCGTTTCATCAGCAGGGTTGGGGTCTTCGCTCGTACCTGCCGACAAATGTTCCCCATTGTGATAATAGGTGTCTTCTATTTTAGAGTCACCATTTACATCACCAGTTAACGCGTTATTCACAATTGCAGTCTAAAAGGATTAAATGTGCATGTTAGTTTATTCTAACGGTTATAAGTGTGCATATTCTTTCAGCAGTTTATAAAGCTAGTTTGAGGTGGGGAATGAATAGAGATCATGAGACAGTGAACTGATTATTTTATTACTAAGAATCACAAAAAATACAAATGAAACTACATTTTATGCAATATATGTGAAATCCACACTTTGGACTTTAGTACCTTGTATCCCTTTTGGCCACTAACGTTACTTCAATAATTATAAGATTGTGAAAGTAGAGTATACAAAATATGGGTCACATCCGTTCATGAGAAAAGCTTACTTGAAGCCGTGGCAAAAGAACGTGGTTAATGACGAACACCGCAAATGAAGGTCCAATAGCCACACCATCGGCTTCAACCGCCTCCCTCTCAATGCCGTCTGTGAGTCGGGATATGGTAACGTCAACCTTACCGCAGATCTTTTCTACGCATTCGTCCAAAAGGTTTGTGAATTCCTCAAACACCACCCGGTGGACACGTGGATTGCAGTCCCAGACTGCCATCACGATGCCCTCTAGTGTTAGAAACCAGAGATGCAACACTCCAGAGGGTTGGTCAATGTCATCCAGACTACGAAGTGTGGAGAGATCGAGGTCAAACTGGGTGTAAGAGAATAGATCAAGTAAAAGGTAGTTACATTTTAGCGTCCATTTAGTGGCATGGTATATTAGCACCAACAGAATAAAGTTGTGGAGAAATTTCTGATAAGAGGGACCTACGGAGTCCACAGAGTGGAAAGCAGGCTCAAGAAAGCGTCCAGTAGAGAACCAAGGAGTAAGATTTTTAACTCTTTCATGGAGGGTAGGTGAAGTGAAGCTACGAACAGAAGTAAGGAGGCTCAACTCCGGAGGTCCGCCTGCCACAATGCGGGCCTGGCACTTGGCTGACCGCAACACGTAGTCAACAGGGGGTGTGGAGATACCAGAAGCGGAGGCGTTGGCAAAAGAGCCCCAAATATAGCCAAAAACTTCACAACAACGTGATAGTAGCGGGAGCGTCGCCACGCATAGTGAGCATGAGGCTTCATTAGCGCAATCCACTCTACTCACAGTCTGCGTTTGCTCATCTATGGAGCCTAAAGAGAATAAGTACATTAATAAATATAATTGATAATTATTTTTCCCTATTAATTGAGCGTTAAGAAAAAAGTTAAGCGCCTACCCTCACCAGCCTCCGCGCACTTATCGCCGGTTAAATTAGGAGGGACTGAAGGAACCCGATTATCTGAATAGAAGTAGTCTAGTTCTCTAGCAGATAGGTAGCGCAAAAGACACCGAACGCAGTCAACAGCAGTATTGCAAAACACGAGGATATCGTCAGTGAACAGGAAAATCTACAAAACAAAATGCTGAAAAGGTAGATGGGGTGGACACTGTGCAAAAAGTGACTACAAATAAACCGTAATCTAGCGATAGTGGCGCCATTGAGAGGTGTGGGAAGTACACACCTGCGCACATACTCCAAAACATTTTACAAAGGTGAGTTTACTGGCATTGCAAAGAATAGTGTTACCAAGCATTGATGGAGGTAAGGAGTCATCACTCACTTCAAAAATTTCTAGCACCGTTGAAATGCGTCGTTTGTTAGGAATCCTCTGGGTGGGGATCACATCCACATCGAAACTGACCTTAGGGCATGTTGGCATGGCATCTCTAGTTGCATCAGCGATCGCATAAGATGAGGGGTCGGGCGGGTGCGTTTTCCCACGATGCTGGTCCACCCCGGTCAGAAAGGGAACCTTGATTGAACGTAGGGCGGCAAATATTGGGCGCCAGCCCGAATGAAGTGCGCTATTGCAGCCCTCTACAATCTCACTGATGCAACTGATGATCCTGTCTTGTAATTCACCATCGCACATTTCTGTTACAATCAAAAAATAATGGAAACCACTGGTAAGATGATAATGCCTTGGTAATTTTAAGGCCAACTAACGTTTACTTCACCGAGGAACAAAACTGTTTTCTTCGAAACAGGCTAGATTTATAGCTTGATGGCGCTGAAATCATACGATAATATGAATTTGTTTCAAGTCCTACATTCTTCAAGCTGGGATTAAGAACCTGGCAGCGAGACTACTTTATATGACTTTGGTTGTGTCCATGACAGTAATAGTAGGTTTTAGCAGAAAGGAAGAGATACCATCCCTTTTACGCCATCCAACAAATCTGATATTTCTTTAGGGAGACGTTAGCAATGAAAGATCAAAAGTAGCTGCCCAGATTCGTTCTAACTAGCCCTTTTCACTAAAAGAATGCATTGTCGAGGAAGAAAGCAAGTAAATGATTGGAAAAACGCCACCCATTGCTCAGCGTAAGCAATACCGAGACGACTTCGAAAATCTGCAATTGACAGTGAGGTGGTGTACTTATCTTCCGTTGCTGCTGTTGCCACCAATGTTGATAGTGCAAAGGACCACACTTTATGCGTTGGTGCATAAAGTATTCTGATACTATGCATTGATACATTCGCAAAACCTGGTTTTTTAATCAAGACAATAATTTGGGCTTTGTTTTGTTAATGTACACAAAATAACGTTAAGTATACACATCAGATACCACCGCATTGGCGTCAGCTTAAGAAATCGTATTTTACAGGAGCCTGGGTGTAAACACCTTCAACATTGAAAAAACGACCACCGAGCGCAGCTAAGACGCGATGAGGGTACATACCGAGTCGTAGGAGGATTTCAAAGGGCTTGCAGAACATCTCGTTGGCGCTGAAGTAGGGCAACTCCAGACGTGTAGTGACAGCCGTAATTATGCATTCGTGAAGACAGGCGAGAGCCCTCTGACTGACCAGTAGCCGCTCAGCATCCGATTCAAACGAAGTGGAGTCGTAAACGGAGGAGAAACAACAAGCGTCTACGAGGTGCTGAGAGACCAGAACCCATGCGCGCAGAAGATGGAACAATGGACGCCTCGGGGAACGAATGGCTCTCAAAAGTAGCTGTGACATTCTAGGCACGTAGCATTTCAACAGAGGTAGATTAGTTAATGGGAATATTACATCTGATCGATAGAGAGTCTACCCACCTGTCGAGGAACAGTGCTGGACTTCGAAGTTTGTGAGAATTGCAGTGGTCAATTAACATCGGGCTTCCATTTAAACTGGCCATTCCAAGCCTCGCAACTTTCACAAGCTCATCTTTTACGGAATTAACTGCTTGTTTCAGATTATTTGCCGGTTTGTGTTCCATAGAGGTGGATTGTGGGTGACTTCTAGCAGCTAATTCTGCGCTGCTTGCTTGCAATAGATAGGAGAGAAAGTCAATCAGCGCTGGCAGCGACAACGCCTCAGCAGCAGTGTCAAAAATCTGGTCAACCTGAGCTGAAAGTGCGCTCAACACAACTCCAGTTTGCTCTAGCGTCAAGCACTCGCCTGCGTCTGGGTTGGCAGCGCTGAAGCTTTGCACAATACCAGGAAGATCACAATCTTCACCGACGTTAGTTCTAGGATAAAGAACCCGGGTAAATACCACCATAACATTACAAATAATGGGGTACAGTGGCGTACACTTTTGTGATGCAGGGCTTAGAGTCACAGACGGAGGCGAAGTAGGCGTGCTCTAATTCACGAACGAGTTGGCAGACATTAAGGAGATGGAACCAGCAGTCAGGTGAATGGCAGCCGAGTCGGAGGGCATTGGAGAGGACGACGTGGATCCCAAGGGCATGGGCGGAGTGGAGGCGGTTGGGTGGGAGGCAATGCCTGTTAACCCGTGCAGCAGCTGCTGCGGCGCGGGCTGTCTCGGTGAGTAGAGCAAAGACGGCTCCGCAACGAGTCCGCAACGCCTCCAAAGTGCTGCCACTCGCCAGAATTGCCAGCTGCTGCAGACTCCGCAGACTTTCCGACAACGTTGAGCCCAACTCACGGAGCTGCTGGCTCTGACTGGCTGCCTCAACATCGCCGAAGTAGAAAAGACCGAAAAGGTTCTGCAGTAACGATTTTGACGCGCTTTCTGCAAACGATGACGATGACGTCTCGGCACTGCAACACGATTAAGTAGTTACTCTTATACCCAATATGCATTATAAAAAATGGACGTTATGTGATAATTTCCGACCTGCAAATGTATAAAAACTTAACAATGATCTCTCTAGCCGTCAAATGCTCTGAAGTGCTCTTCTGAGTTCTTTACTCACCATTATCCTTTTTCTATCGGTTAATAAAGGCTGAGTGTTATGAAAAGCTGCAATTTACTTCAAGTATAGGTGTATGCAGATTTGTAAATGTAAAAATATTTAGATCGGACAACGTAT